TGTATTATTATTATTATTATTATTATTATTATTATTATTATATATAAAGTACACCAACTTGTAGATTGTCAGCTTTCCACAAGCCTGTCTCTCTACACAAGACCCAAAAAAAAATACATTTACTTGCTCTATATAAGCATGCTCTAAGAGTTTTAATTGGAGCTGTCAAGCACATATCACTCACACTTTCCTTCCAACCTCAGCCTACTGCCATGGTAAATTGCACTAAGAAAATTGAGCATTAAATGAGGGTAATTAACTTTGCTCTTTAACACATTATTTTTCCAAACACCACAGACTGTTCATCACTCCATCCTATAAGTATATATGCAGATGTGGAAACAGAGTTAATGATCTGGCACAAAGAAAAATAATACCAGACTTAACCCTTAAAGATGCAGATCAGCGCCAGGTCGTTCAAGCATTTTAAGCTGGCATAACACATGAAAAGTATTTCTATACATTGAGAGCAAGGCAGTCTGGTGCTACAACAGTTAAGAATTCAATTCACGGTATAGTTTTATCCTTGAGGCATTTCCTGCCTTTGAAGTGGGAGAAACGCAATTGCAAGTTCCTCAAGACACAATGCTAGAATCAGATTGCATTAAGGAAATTTAATTAGAAGTGGCTGTGGAGCTGTGGTCTTTTTTGAGGGGGGAAAGGTGGGGGTTTAATTCTCACCTGCTGTCTGGAAAGTCCCCTGTATTGCTTCTATCTCCCCGATCTCACTGCAGACCCCCTGCCCATGCATAAGGGTCTGCAGGGGCTTTTCGGCACCTTTGGTGGGATAGCAGCGCAGCCCGGAGCCACATCGGGCAGTGTAGACCCCACATGGCATCCCTTTCTGGAGGGCACAGGTGGCACAGCACCCACAACCGGGTTCTCTCACCAGTTCCAGGCACCCAGTAGGGTCCAGACAGCGAATTAGCTTCTCCTGTGAGCAAGGAGGGCACTGTATGGCATCATCTGCAACTCCAAGGGATGCCAGAGAGATGAGGATTAAGGCAAAGTGGCAGTGCCCAGGCATTGTGTGTGGCTGGCCAGTAAGGTTAGATGTGAATTAAAGGGTGGGCAGATCTGGCAGACTGGTACAGCAGTCACTCAGCACACAGGAACATGAAATGATCCAGCCTTGACTGTGCTGCTCTCCATAGCAAGAATGAGGGGGACTGAGAATTTACTGCACTGAGCAGATAGATGTGGACTTTATACTGGCTGCAAGCCACTCCTATCTCTAGTCCCATTGCCAGAAGAAAGGGGGAGAGTGTGGTGTGGGGATAGTGAATGAGACACGCAGAACTTATAGAGCAGTGCAGATGAAGAAACAGAGCAAAAGAAGTTCAGGAACAATGAAAAGGAATGCTGAAAGGAATAAAGAATATAAGCCAATGTAAACAGCAATAAAGATGTATACAATGCAGCAATCAATGCCAGCCAACTAGATTTTCTTTACCTTAGACGAGTTAGAACAATGCAACGTGAAAGGTGTTTGGTTGGTGTCAGTAAAAGTGCCCATAGGCATTAGATCACATTGTGCCAATCTAGACCTTATTTGGCAAAGATCTAGTGTCAATGGGGCAATGCACAACAACCACAAACAAGTGTTTTTTAAAAACGATCGGGCAGGTAAGAAAAAAACGACATGATTGCATCCTTTTTCCCCAGTAGCAGGACCGCCTGCCTGCGGCTCTCCCTCCTTCCTTCTTTGCCATAAACAGGTCCAATTTTACAGTTTTGGTACTCCTCCTAAGGGGAGAGGCTGGTACAGGAGCAGGCTCAATTCACAAAGTGAACACAGAGAGGATAAGGATAGTAATCTTTAAAAACGTTGAAGACAGAGATCACCACCACACCGTCAAAAGCATTGGATTCTTTTGCTTAATTATTGAAGAAACATGTCACAAGCATCATTTAGCCAACGTTTCGGGGCCACGCAGGGTCCCTTCTTCAGGGCGACATAAAGAAGGGACCCTGTGTGTCCCCGAAACGTTGGCTAAATGATGACTTTTGACTGAGGGCTAGTGATCTCCATCTTCTACGATTTTGGAAAACACAACGCCGTCTGTGCAATCAATACGAGCACCATGACCATTAATAAAGGTCTAATCTCTGTAAGGAGTGCAGGTGGCACATCATAATACTACATCTTCAAAGAAGTGACACTTATTTTCAACTGAGTTCAATGAGATTTAAAAATTACAATCACATGACTAGAATAAAGATACTTTTTCTTCTGCTTTGTGACTTGAGCCTATGGTGACCCATTCTGGCTCTTCATCTGTGACCAGGTTTACTACCTTGTCCTTTTCTTATTGAAAATAATGTAACCATTTAAAGAAGTATGGCAGGACAGTGCCGTGTCACTGTGGTGATTGGTGTATTCGGCGCCAGGACTCTCAGTCAGAGGGGCTGAGAGGGTCCAGAAAACATATATAGAGTTATTCACAAAAGGGTGAAGAGTTTGGAGAAGGCAGGAGAAGAGAACAACCTAGGACTGCATAGCTGAACTGTAAATGAGCTGAATTGGAGAATGTTTCCAAATCAGCTATTTTGTCCTAGATTGTTCACTCCTACAGCCTTCTCCAAACTCTTCACCCTTTTGTGAATAACCCTGATAGAGTTAAGCTGGTCATACACCTTACAATTATGTGCAGATTTTCTATGGTCAGATGGAAAGGTGCAACAGATTCCTCCATCTACACTTAACTATGTGGATGGAGTAATCTCCACCTTGGCCAATCTGTTGCACTTTTTCCACCTGACCACAGAAAATCTGCAGATAATTGTAAGGTGTGTGGGCACCTTTACAGGGAAAGAGCTGGGTTTCCAGTTCTTTCCGGGTTTTCTGGAGTATAACTGGGATCTGGGTCTCTAAAGATTTCGAAGAGTCTTGGGCGGGATGAATTCTCCAGTCCTGGGGCCAGGTGCACCCAATTTCCAGGCCAGACTGTCCAGCCCTATCAAGAGAGTGGACAGAGAAGAAGAGGCAGTCAGTGATGCAGAAGTACATCCAGAGCGTGGGAGACTGTGGCCTCTCTAGCCGGCGTGGAGTCCGGCTAGAGAGGCCGAAAGGGCCTATGGCACACGTGATGTGTGGGCGAGGCCAGGAGGGTCTGTGGCACAAAAGGAGTGTTTGGAAAGGGCGGGAGGACCGTCATCAGGTGTGAAGCTGCTGGTTGTCTGGCCATGAGCAAGCTGAGGCTCTAACCCTGAGGTGGGAGTTGTGAGGAGAGAGGGATCAGCTGTGACTGATGTATGAACAACCTGCTGTATTACTGAAAAATTCCGGGCTTATATTCCTAGGAAAGGACTTGCAAACTTTGGGACTCTATGACAAACTGGTGAGACACATTTGTATGCTACCTTATTTGTGCCGAAGATAGGGACTTTTGCCTTGAGTTATGCTGAAGATAAGCTTACATTTGTGTTTACCATTTTGAGTGCCCTGAAGAGGACAATAAAAAGCTTTTGTTTTATTCAAACACCCTCTGTGCGAGTGCTCTGTGGGCTCCCCAACGTCACAGAAGTTTAAAGTGAGGTTTCAGTAACTCAGCGATTGTTATAACTGAGCTACTTTTAGGTCATCTTCAAGTGGATGTCCACTTTCACAAAGTGGCCTCCCACTGCAAATCAGTAGAAGTGTTTTGCTCGGAACCTCCTCAGGCACCTGTTAAACTGAGCAGCCAAGGAGCTCTAGGGCTACTAAAGCTCAGCACATCTGATCAGCCTCCTTTGGAAATCCATTGCTTTTTAATGGGTTTATTAGGTCAGTGCCTGCCAAGGGTGGCCCGGGAAGTCAGGAGAAATGCTCAACTTCTCTTTTAAATTGTATATAAAGCCAAGACTCTTTTGTTTTTTTGCAATCTGCGTCCCATCTTGAAGTTTTACCTTCAATTTCTGTCCAAGAGTTATGACAAATAGTAAAATAAGATTTTTCCCAAATCAATGGAATTCTCCTCTTAAACAGTTGTCACCTGAATAGGTTTCCCCATTGTAAGATTTCCCCTCTGTTCCTGTTTTCTGGACCCTATTGTATCATCAATTAAGGTGTCTATATGTCAAATATAATCAACATACCGTACTCTTTGCATATTTGTCATTTATACATTTTTATATGTTTTTGTAATTTACACATTTTTGTCGTTTATATAACTTGTATAAGGATAATGGCACATATACTGACAATCAGTCACCCTAACATGAAATCAAATATAAATAAAAACCAATAAAGATAATATAATCGTAAATGATCACTAATCTCTCAAAATTAGTGATACCAACATCAAAAATAGAAACTAAGGATGCACCGATACGGGCTTTTCGGTATTGAATACGAGCACCGATATTTTTTTTTGGTACTCGCCAATACTGAATACCGATACCGGAAGTCCCATTAACCTCCCTGGCAGTATGATTTTTTCGGTCTATTTTTTTTCAAATGTTTTTCGTCTTTGTCGGTTTTTTTTAATATCCCGCCGGTTCCGCCCCCCTGCGACACGTACGCTCGCAAGGGACGGAACCCGGAAGGCGGATGCCGGCATCAGCCGGAGAACACAGCGCAGCTCGAGGGACAAGGAAAGTAAATGCTATGCGGCATTCCCGAGTGTAGCTCGGGGTTACCGCTTATGGTATGGAAAAGTAACCCCCAGCTACACTCGGGAATACCGCCAGGGAGGTTAAGGAAGCCAGGCGGCGTCTAATGACTCACCACTTGGCTTCCTGATTAGCCGGGAAGCCGGGCGGTGTGTAAAGACTTGTCACCCTGCTTCCCGATTATCAGGTAAGCCGTCTCCATGCTCCTTGTTACCAGGTGACAAAGGAAGCATGGAGCCGGCTTTATGGCCAATCGGCAAGCCGGGGGGTGGGTAATGACTCGCCGCTTCCTCATTGGAAATTCTGGTATCAGGAAGTCGGGCAGCGAGTCATTACACGCTGCACAGCTTCCTGATTGGCTGGCAAGCCGACTCCATGCTCCCTCATCACTTGGTGACGAAGGAGCATGGAGTCGGCTTCTCAGCCAATCAGGAAGCTGGCCAGTGTGTAAAGACATGCGACATAGCTTCCGGATACCAGAAGTTTGGGTGTCGGGCTAAGCATCGGTGGGGCGAGTATGAGTTTTTGAAAAGGTCCCCGGTGACGAAACGCGTTAGGCAGGCTTTGCTGACCTCATCACGTACAGGCAAGGCGGAAGGGAGTAATCGATAGTGATTTTATGTCAACATGTTTTAGCTTTTTTGTGAGTAGGTCTTTTTGGTGTATGGCTGCTCTAGTCTTTTTTCAGTTACTTTCGCTTGGGAAGTAGAATGTACGATGAGCAAAGTACTGAACATTAACCTTTTTTTTTTTTTAATTATCCAAGTTGAACTAAAATAGCATCTTTAAACTACAGACACATTTGTGCTTTTACATGTGCCAGGACTTCAGTTCACCACACCTGTCAAACTTGGCAGGGTTGACAAAGGGGAGATCACATCTCCTGTACTCATTAGAAGGCTCTAACACTGGTTAGAAGAGTTGAATGTTGCTTACACTATTTTGCACATTCAAAATAGACTCCCTTATGTACAGGAGACGCAATGCTGACTGTCATGTTTGGTTTTTCTCTGTATTGCAGCTATATAAAAATGGAGGTCTGTATCAGTGTTAGGATAGAATACTGTTTGTCAGGAAAGCAGCGCGGGCCACATGTACAAGATAATGGGCAAACATGCTGTGACGGGATGTTGTGCATGCAAGTTTGCATGTAAACATGTGAACGTGCATGTGCCATGACTCATGCACAAAGGAATTTACTTCAGTGCACATATGCATGGGCGTACATGCATTCACACGTACAGGCATGCTCATTGGCACCAGTCTTCCTGTTTAAGTTCACATAGACTAAGAGACTAAGCTCATTGCTGACTGATCTTCAGCTTCTTCCTGTACTCCTGTGACCTTACCTGCTACTCCATTCCTGAAAGATGATCTTGGCTTATGTCCCCAACTCCACTTCTGCTTACTGATTTGGTACCTCGCTTCTGCATCTCAGTGCCCGACCTCGGCTTGTGACATTAACTCTGATCTCATCTCCCCATTTGGCCCCGATTTGTCCGGACATTACCGACCATTGGCCTGTGTTCCTGACTTTGTATCCTGCCTGTCCCGGTACTCCGCTATACTCA